CTAGCCGGCTCATTGCCGAAAGGTTAGCATACCTGACTACGAGGCCAATGATTGCGGGTTCGAATTCAGCTCAAGGCATGGATGTTTTTCTCTATTTCCTTCTGTGATGTGTGAATGTGGCAAAAAACAGTAACAGTAACAGTGAGGAAAAAAAACAGTAACATTATCTCAATTTGCCTAGAAGAGTTCAGGTTACTTTTTTATGACTAGAAGGAATTTCCTTTGCCCCCTTTTGACTATTGATTGTTCCTTTTCATATTTTAAATTATTTATTGTTAACTTTTAACTGTCCATAAAATTCTAATTGTTTTTAAATTTCATAAAATTGTTCATAATCTTCATAAAAGTTTGCTAAATTTTAGTCAATATAAGTAGTTTCTTAGTAGTTACGTAACATTTTGTATTTCCTTATTGAGTCTATTATTATAAAGACAAAAATTTGTCTTCTAGCTTCCGTTAGAACTCCAGAAAAAATTGTGCAAGCATCCTAAAACTTGAAAAACAGATACAAGGGAGGATTCCAAAAACGTTCAGAAATTACAACTAGTGCATTCAAGAGAAACATATTTAAAAAATAATTTTCGTCATATCTTTAGCACTAGGTGTTTTTTAAAATTAAACTGCAGAAGCTTTTTCCTTTTAATGATTTAATTGAGTTTGCTCATTTTCCTTTTACTCGAAAATGGAATTTATTCCAAGCTCTTACTATTTTTTTCTTTCTACTTATTAGCGCAGGTAAGCTATGTATGCTATGTACCCCTACTTTTCTTTCACTAGCTACGTTACAAATAGTAACGTTTGAATACTTATAAAGAGTGTCCAAAATATATGGTCTTATTCAAGTACCTCGAAAATTACGCATCGTTTCTGGAATCTAATAATGAAGGAGGAAAATATTTTCTAAAGATGAATTCAATGATACCAAACTCGACTTCCTTTCGCATCCCCTGTTTCTTAGGACTTTTAGGACGAGAAGTCTTTTTGGTGTTATTTCATTAGTTTTTCGAAATATGTTTCTGACATGACAAATCTGACACGTGTTTCTCCATTTGAAACAATTTGAACATTTTGCATTTGCATCATCAGAAAGAAATATGCAGTTTAAGCAATACTTCACCCCAAAAGTGTTCTAGGGGCTAAAATTACTGCTCGGAGAATGCCACGTCACTTTTTGAGTAATCTTTCATTAAATCATGGCTGTGCTCGTTGTGTGAAAGGAACACTTAAACTGCTGCGAAAGAAATGGACTTGATTCGAAATCTGTTACAGAGTTGGAAAAACAGCATTGTCCAGAATTCCTACATACATCTCAGAGTTCATATTTATATTTATATTATTTTATAACAGCAGCCTATACGTGAAAATAACAAGCCACATCAACTTTGTTAGGTTGAGGGTCCAGATACTCTTGGTTGGATTACATAGATTCGCACTTTGTTTTTTTTTTTGTAAATTTTAGTGCATAATATAAATTTTAACTAAATCTGACTGAATACTTTTTATGCAATAGCATAGAAAGTTGTTAGCAAAATATATATAGCATAAAAGGGATTGTTTAAAAATAAAATCTGATACTTACCATTCCTTGTTACGGGCACCGGAACTGGGGGACCTGAAGCAACCATTACAAAAAAAGAAATGCTGAGTAACAGGCAAAATGCGCTTCGAATCATAGTTGTCTTTATTTGACGTTCCTTTTTTTTAATCCCGCAAAATGTTTCTGTTAAAAGGAGAGAAAAACGCGGTAAGAAAATTTTCAGAAAAATGGTTAAATAAGATTTTATTTGATTATTATTTTCCATAATTATTATTAATTTATTAAATTGTAATTTGATTGTATCACTAATTTGTGACCCTGGGTTGTTAGAGTACGATACTTCTATTCACGCACAGATGGCAGCACCACCACAAAACTACTAAACTATCGTTAATGCGCATTGAAATTTCTTTTTGACGATTATGAAACCATGCAAGTTGTATATGATTAAAAGAGTGTATAGTTTTGCATTCATGTTTTTTTTTTAAAAAAATGTAAAAAATGTATTTAAAAAAATGTTCTTTTTCGTAAACTTAACGATTAATTGGATATTCAGACTGCTGCCATAATTTTAGAATGAAAATTCTAACAGTGTAGTAACAATGAACAGTAATCGAAAAAATAAGTGAATAAGTATTAAAATAGCCAGAGCAAAGATTGGTTCCGAAAAGTAGTTTCGTTAGTGCTATTTTTTCCCATTTGTTTTTTCAATTTTACTCTAGAAATATTTAAACTTTTTCGATTCTTTTTGTTGTAGTTTTCATTTAGACACCTTGACATTCTGAACCTTAGGTTTTTTGATATTTTTTGCACTTAACAAACGTTTGATGCCGGAATGTCATTTGATAACCCTGAACCTTTCAGAAAATATTGAAAATAAATGGGGTCGCTTCATTATATTAGGAGAAAAAAAGCAGGATTATTTTTGGAAATTCTATAAATTTATTCTCAAAAATGTAAAGCAATAATAAAATATTAAAATTAAAACACCATTGGCAGCGAAAAATAGTGAAGTACGTGTCTTGGCTTTTCGATTCCCAAAATCGTTTGAGAATTAGTATTTTTTAAGTCGTAAGTGTCCAGAGTCTATGAAAAATTCACGAAAAGGGGGATGGATCAGCAATAGGGCAAACTGCAAAGGATAAATAATCTTTCATAAACGTGTGGTATGTACGATTGCTTGCATACATCACGCCGTGTAGTATGTAGCCATTGAAGCCAAAGGCTAGCTCGTATTAGCAAAATGAGAGTGCCAGCCGTAGAATCAGTAAACGGACCGTACACCGCGCATTTTACTGCGAGTACTTTGGTAGCCGTCGAGCAACCTCGTTATTAACTTGCCGTAAAATTTCAATATTAATTTTACTCGTTATTGCATACAAAATGTGGGGAAAAGACATGATTGTTGCTTATCTAAAAACAGAAAATGAAAGAAAAAATATGACTTACTCTCTGATTTTCACTGTTCCAAGTGTTTTTCTAGAATCGATGCGTTTTTCGAATCTTTTTTATACTCTTAGCAATGATAAAATCTGTTTAATGGTACATAGAATAACGTTTTATGGTACATTATTTTGTGCAATGACCAAGCGATATTTTTTATCAAATATTGACATTACTTTAATATACATTTTTGATGTGACAACTCTCTTAGTTCAGTTTTTTTCAGGTATATTTTTTAGTATATAATTAAAGATACTTTTTTTACGAATGACAAAAGTAAATAAAACTTCAAGTTATTCGGTAATAAATGGGATATAATGATACAAACAATTACAGTTTATATCAATTACTTGTGTAGAAAACATAACTGTTGTTATTTATTGCAGGATGTATATTAAATTTAGAACTCAAGACTGCTTAGTTTCTTGATATAAATTTTATTATGACAAGTATATTTTCTTGTTAAATACATTAAGTATAATTTTGAGAATCCTTTAAAAGGAAAAAGATTTTATGAGTGTGCTTCTCACATTCTGCACATTTTACAACCATTTGTTCCAGTATAGGTCTATATTTGCCTGTAAGTGCATGAACCAATTTCAGTCATCAATCCTATAGTCATTCGAGAAATATAGCTCGTGTGAGAGTGATGCATGGTAAATGATTTTTTATAAAAAGGATTATCTTTGTGCCTTATTTCAATTTATATTGCAGATTATTTTTCTTATTTATTTTAAAGGAAACATCAATGATTTCTGAAGTTTGGAGCTCAAATGAATCTGAAGTGAGTTTCGATTTGTATTTTATTCACCATTCTTAAATAATTATTTATCTTTAACTCATTATGCAATGTAAATACGTAATGTAAATACTTAATTTAACGTAAGTACTTTGAAAGCTATCCGAAACCACTTTCCTTCCTTTATCTATAGTTAATTATTTCTAACCGGGTTTCTTTAAATCTAAATTATATAAATTCTAAATGGGGTAGAAATAAAGTTTAAAAAAATACATATTATCTTATATACTGAACAGCCTATTTAAGGAGAATTAATGCTTGATTCTGCTATCCTTATTTTCAGCGGGAAATGATACAGCAGAGTTAAACGTTTAAAAACGTGCTTTTTCAAGCCTAATAAATTCGAGTACAGAGTCAAGTGTAAAATTTTTTTAATTGTGTTTTAATTGTGTCAGTCAATTTTGTACAAGAATGCAGTGGTTATGATTGATACCCATTATTTGATTATTTAATTTGTTCTCCTTTAGTTCGGAGTTGATGTATTCAGCTGTACCCATCAGGAAAATTTGCCACAGACACACCTATGGTATTGTAACCATAGAAGTTTACATGGCAACCGCAGCAAATCTAACCACTTAAGCATTGTAAATTGTACGATATGTAGTGATCAGCTACTATAGAATAGGCGACAAACTATGATTCTGTTGATGTTATCCTTCTACTTGCTCTAATGGCACAGAATGCTCTTTGCCTCCATCGCCAGTACATTTTGTTAACAGCACACGATCAACATACCTCGAACTAGCTCGTCCATTCAGTATTGCTTTTGTTCTGTTTCCACTTGTCTCTTCCAAATTAACTGCTTCTCTTGCTCTGGTGAGCTCACGTAAAGTCGATTTGGATTAAATAATCATTTTTTTGCCTTTTTTTAATGTAAAATAAAACAATGAACTTTCCTCTCGCTAAAATTGTTTTGAGTCTTGCTTCTGCGTCAAATCGAACAGAAGTTATGAAGATTTTTAAAAAAAATATTTTAGTCATTGCATTGAAAATTGAGCTTTTTTTGTTTTTTTCTTCTCAAAACTAATTTTTGTAAAAGTATTGTCATGTATGTCAAATTGAATTTTTTTACGGTTTTCAGACCATGCTAGTTCTTAATATTTTAAACACTGTATAGTTTTGTATTCACGGTTTAATTACCCTACTAGTTGTAAACGGTTTCAGGACAGTAGAGGTAAAAAAATTTTCCTNATTCAAAAACTATGATATTTAACTGAACTTACCCGGAACCAGACAACATTCCATAATTGCACGTTTGTTCCATGCAGGGATCTTCTGTTTGAAATGTTTCTCCATTTTTATGTTCACCGCAGTCAACTGAAATGTAAAACAAAAATTCGAGAATACACAGAATATAAAAATTAAGAGAATCTTTATTATCTATCTTATATGGATGTTGCAAGAATATTAACTTTTGTGAATTTGAAGGGAAAAAAGAAGATAGTATTGAAGCAGATTCAAAAGCAACTTCTTTGCTTATGATTAATGAACTATACTTGGATGAGGAATGCCTTCGTGTTTTATATGCAGACGCATCCCTGATTTAAGATAGCTCAATTTACTGATTAGACAAATCATTATCAGGCTGAAGTGTACAGTAGGCATTCTTTCCATGCGTCCTAATATGCATAATTTTGATGCAGAAATCTACGCAATCAATCTAGTAATAGAAAACTTCAAAATAATAACAAGTATGTTTACAAGAGTGGTTATCCTAGTTGATTCAATATCTGCCATATAATCAGTGAAATCGTTGTTTTGAAACTGAAATCTTATTTGAAATCAGGCAAACTTTAACCCTTCTTAAATTAGAGAAAATAATTTATTTTTAGTGGGTTTCATCACACATTGGTATCAAAGGTGATGAACAAGTAGACTTTTTAGCGAAAACCGGAACAACATGAAAACGCATCTGTTGCATCAGATGCTCTAAGAGGATACGTTTTTGACAAATTTAATGAAATGAATGACAATGCTATGCTTAATATGCCAAAAGGCTGAACTTTGGAGGGCATACTAAATTGTCGGTGATTAAATAACCATGGACCCCGAAAGGAGACAGTAGCAAATCTTAGACTACTGAGTGACCTAAGGCTGCTTGGCAGAGCATTTGTTCAAAATAAGGGTATGCTAGCCGGCTCATTGCCGAAAGGTTAGCATACCTGACTGCGAGGCCAATGATTGCGGGTTCGAATTCCGCTCAAGGCATGGATGTTTTTCTCTATTTCCTTCTGTGATGTGTGAATGTGGCCCAACCTATGAGAGGAAAAAAACAGTAACATTATCTCAATTTGCCTAGAAGAGTTCAGGTTACTTTTTTATGACTAGAAGGAATTTCCTTTCCTTTGCCCCCTTTTGACTATTGATTGTTCCTTTTCATATTTTAAATTATTTATTGTTAACTTTTAACTGTCCATAAAATTCTAATTGTTCTTAAACTTCATAAAATTGTTCCTAATCTTCATAAAAGTTTGCTAAATTTTAGTCAATATAGGTAGTTTGTTAGTAGTTACGTAACATTTTCTATTTCCTTATTGAGTCTATTATTATAAAAACAAAAATTAGCCTTCTTGCTTCCGTTAGAACTCCAGAAAAAATTGTGCAAGCATCCTAAATCCTGAAAAACAGATACAAGAAAGGATTCCAAAAACGTTCAGAAATTACAACTAGTGCATTCAAGAGAAACATATTTAAAAAATAATTTTCGTCATATCTTTAGCACTAGGTGTTTTTTTAAATTAAACTGCAGAAGCATTTTCCTTTTAATGATTTAATTGAGGTTGCTCATTTTCCTTTTACTCGAAAATGGAATTTGTTCCAAGTTTTTACTATTTTTTTCTGCTTATTAGCGCAGGTAAGCTACATATGCTATGTACCACTATTTTTCTTTCACTAGCTACGTTACAAATAGTAACGTTTGAATACTTATAAAGAATGTCCAAAATATATGGTCTTATTCAAGTACCTCGAGAACTACGCATCGTATCTAAAATCTAATAATGAAGGAGGAAAATATTTTCAAAAGATGAATTCAATGATACCAAACTCGACTTCCTTTCGCATCTCCTGTTTCTTATTAGGACTTTTAGGACGAGAAGTTTTTTTGGTGGTATTTCATTAGTTTTTCGAAATATATTTCTGACATGACAAATCTGACACGTGTTTCTCCATTTGAAACAATTTGTACATTTTGCATTTACATCATCAGAAAGAAATATGCAGTTTGAGCAATACTTCACCCCAAAAGTGTTCTAGGGGCTAAAATTACTGCTCGGAGAACACGTCACTTTTTGAATACGCTTTCATTAAATCATGACTGTGCTCGTTGTGTGAAAGGAACACTTAAGCTGCTGAGAAAGAAATGGACTTGATTCGAAATCTGTTACAGAGTTGGAAAAACAGCATTGTCCAGAATTCTTACATACATCTCAGAGTTCATATTTATGTAACAGCAGTCTATACGTGAAAATAACAAGCCACATCAACTTCGTTAGGTTGAGGGTCCAGATACTCTTGGTTGGATAACATAGATTCGCAGTGCAATTTTTTTTTTTTGTAAATTGTAGTGCATAATATAAGTTTTAACTAAATCTGACTGAATACTTTTTATGCAATAGCAAAGAAATTTGTTAGCAAAATATATATAGCATAAAAGGGATTGTTTAAAAGTAAAATCTGATACTTACCATTTCTTGTTACGGGCACCGGAACTGGGGGACCTGAAGCAACCATTACAAAAAAGGAAATGCTGAGTAACAGGTAAAATACGCTTCGAATCATAGTTGTCTTTATTTGACGTTCCTTTTATTAATACCGCAAAATGTTTCTGTTAAAATGAGAAAAAAACGCGGTTAGAAATTTTTCAGAAAAATGGTTAAATAAGAATTTATTTAATTGTTATTTTCCTTAATAATTTATTAAATTGTTATTTAATTGTATCACTAATTTGTGACCCTGGGTTGTTAGAGTACAATACTCCTATTCACGCACAGATGGCAGCACCACAAAACGACTAAACTATCTTTAATGCGCATTGAAATTTCTTTTTGACAATTATGAAACCATGCACGTTGTATATGATTAAAAGAGTGTATAGTTTTGCATTCATGCTTTTTTTTTAAAAAAAAATGTAAAAAATGTATTTAAAAAAATGTTCTTTTTCGTAAACTTAGCGATTAATTGGATAGTCAGACTGCTGCCATAATTTTAGAATTAAAATTCTAACAGTGTAGTAACAATGAACAGTAATCGAAAAAATAAGTGAATAAGTATTAAAATAGCCAGAGCAAAGGTTGGTTCCGAAAAGTAGTTTAGTTAGTGATATTTTTTTCCATTTTTTTTTTCAATTTTACTCTAGAAATATTTAAACTTTTTCAATTCTTTTTGTTGTAGTTTTCATTTAGACACCTTGACATTCTGAACCTTAGGTTTTTTGATATTTTTTGCACTTAACAAGCTTTTGATGCCGGAATGTCATTTGATAACGCTGAACCTTTCAGAAAATATTGAAAATAAATGGGGTTGCTTCATTATATTTGGAGAAAAAACGCAGGATTATTTTTAGAAATTCTATAAATTTATTCTCAAAAATGTAAAGCAATAATAAAATATTATAATTAAGACGCCTTTAACCGCGAAAAATAATGAAGTACGTGTCTAGGCTATTCAATTTGCAAAATCGTTAGAGAATTGGGATTTTTTAAGTCTCTAGAGTCTATGGAAAATTCACGAAAAGGGGGAGCTATAAGCAATCGGGCAAATTGTAAAGGATAAATAATCTTTTATGAACGTGTTGCATCTACGATTGCTTGCATACTTCACGCCATGTAGTACGTAGCCTCTGAAGCCAAATGAAAGCTCGTATTGGCAAAATAAGAATGCCACTGGTAGAATCAGTAAACGGACCGCACAACGTGCATTTTACTGCAAGAATATTGGTAGCCGTAGAGCAATCTCGTTATTTACTTGTGTCTGTAGTCTATGGAAAATTTTCAAAAAAGGGGAGAGATTAGCAATCGGGCAAACTGCGAAAGATAAATAATCTTTTATCAGCGTGTTGTATGTACGACTGTTTGTGATTTAATAGCCGTAGAGCAATCTCATTATTGACTTGGTATAATATTTCAATATTAATTTTATTCGTTTTTGCATAAAAAAATGTGGAGAAAAGACAGTTTTGATTATCTAAAAAAAAGGAAATGAAAGAAAACATAAGACTTACTCTCCGAATTTTCAATGTTCTAAGTGTTTTTCTGTAATCGGTATGCTTTTCGAATCTTTTTTTATACCCTTAGAAAAATATAAAATATGTTTTATGATATATATAATAATGTTTTATGGTGCATTATTTTGTGCAATGACAAAGCGATAGTTTTTATCGAACATTCACAATACTTTAATGTGCATTTTCGACGTGACAGCTCACTTAGTTCAGTTTTTTTTTCAGACATATTTTTTATTGTGTAATTAAAGATACTTTTTTACAAACAACAAAAGCAAATAAAACTTCAAATTATTGGCCAATAAATGGAATTAAATGATTCAAACAGTTACAGTTTATGACAATTACCTGCGTACAAAGAAGTAACTGTTGTTATTTATTGCAGGATGTATATGAAATTTAGAGCTCAAGACTGATTATTTTCTTGAAATAAATTTTATTATAACAAGTATATGTTCTTATTAAATACATTAAAGAAGAAATAGAATTTCGAGAATCCGAGATAATAATATAAAGATTTCATGTGTGTGCTCCTTACAGATCTATACCAATTGGTTCAGTATAGGTCTATATCTGCCCGTGAGTGCGGGAACCAATTTTCGTCACCAATCCTATATTCATTCGAGAAATATGGTTCGTATGAAAAAGACGCGTGATAAATGATTTTTGATGAAAGTATTATCTTTTGCATTATTTCAATTTATATTGTAGATTTTTTTTTATTCATTTAAAAGGAAACATCAGTGATTTTTGAAGCTTGCAGCTCTAATGAATCCAAAAGGAGCGTCGATTGGTATCTTATTGACCATTCTTAAATTCTTATTTGTGTTTAACTCATTATGAAAAGTAAATACATGATGTGACGTAAGTACTTTGAAAGCTATTTGAAACCACGTGTTTTTTAGTATTTATAGTTAATTTTTTTGAATCGGGTTTCCTGAAATCTAAATAATATAAAATCTAAATTGGGTTGAAACAGAGTTAAAAAATATATATTATCTTATATACTAAACAGCATATTCAGGGAGAATTAATGCTTGATTTTGCTATCTTTATTTTCAGCGAGAAATGATACAGAAAGTAAGTATATTTATATTTTTAACAACGTATATTTTCAAGCCTAATAAATTTAAGTAGAGTCAAGAGCAAGTAATAAGTGCAACATATTTTACTTTTTTAATTGTGTCGTTCAATTTTGTGCAAGAATGCAGTGGTTATGATTGATACTCATTATTTGATTATTCCGTTTGTTTTCCTTTAGCTCGAAGTTCTTATCATAGTACTATATCGAAGTACTTATCATAGAAATTTGCCATAGATACACCTATGGTAATATATGGTAACCGTAGAAATTTGCATGGCATTTCTATGGGAAGAGCGGCAAACCTAATCTTTTAAGCATTGTGTATAGTACGATATATGTAACAGTCATCTACCACGGAATGGGCAACAAACATTCTGATTCTGTTAGAGTAAATGTTACATTTCTATGCGACTAGTGGCACAGAGGACTTTTAGTTCTCTACGCCAGCTCACTGGGCTAGCAGCACACGATCATACCTCGTACTGCCTAGTCAATAGCACTTGCTCATGTTCTTTTTCCACTTGTCTTCTCCAAAGTTACTGCTTTTCTTGCTCTTCTGCTCTCACGTTAATCCGATTTGGACTAAATTATCATTTTACTTGTTTTTAATATAAAATAAAACTATAAACTTTCCTCTCACTAAAACTGTCTGATTCTTGCTTCTACGGTTAATCAAACAGAAGTTATACTGATTTTTTTAAAAAAATGATAATAATTTATATTTATTATTGCATTGAAATTTACATTTTTTTTTTATTAAATTTGAAAACATTTGCGTTTTATATTAAATTTGCAAATTTTTTTATTGCATTGTCTTTTTTCACAAAACTAATTTTTCGGTAATTTTTCTTCACTTTGAATGCAATATCTCAAAACATTTTAATTTGAACTACCGGAAATTTTGCATGAATATTTTCTATGCATATGTCTTGAAAAAGGACTACGGATTGGTTGATTGAACTATAATTTTATATTTTGCAACTAAAATAAAAATGCCTAATTGTAATTTTCGACCTTTTTGTCAAAATTGTTTCGATATTCGCAGTAAAATATCTAAATATAAGTGTAATGTCTAATGGAGCAGTCTATTCCCTAAGTAGAGTCTTTATAAGTACATAGAAGAAAGCAAAGATTTTAAAAAAAATGATAATAGTAAATTTCAACACAGCTATGTTATTTTGAAAAGTTCTTATTTGATATCTTTTGAGCATTTTTTAAACCATATTATCTAAACAAAGTTTTTTTATATGTTTTTTTTTATATTTATGATAAATTTTAATATATAATTCGCATATAAGTCCCAATTAAAAGTTTCTGAATAAAAAGTTTAACATTTTGCAGAAGGTATTTGGATATTTTAAGATTACTAATGTTATTCTTGGCAAAAACATTCTCAAAATGTAACCCATTCATTTCTTTTTCTTTTCTTTTAAATTTGATTGGTTCTTGTTTGGTTTTACTATAGATATCTGAGTTGTATACGATTTGAGGCCAGAATATTATTAGAATATTTCTCAAATGCGTGTTTTGTCGATTTATTTAGTTTATATTCTGTATTTTTGATGGTTTCAGTGCTTCTTACATACCTACATAATGGAACCCTCTTTACCATTGAATTAAAAATATTAATTGTAGTCTTTATAGTATGTATTTAATATAGATGGTATCATTTATATTAAATGATAGCATTAAATAATAACAGTTTAAAAAATAATATAATAATATAATAACAATAATAATTTAATTCTAATGATACGATTAGTAATATTATTAATATGCAAAATATCTTGATAGTGCTTTTGGGAATTTATTAATATTTACCTATCATAGTTTTAAATATTAGGGAAATGAGTGACAAAACGGTTGCAATAGTGCTTACTTTCATAATTTTGAGGTTTTAAAATGTGTATAAGAAAATTATTTGCGCAACGATCAATCATTTAAAGTCTTGGAACAAATTAAAATTTTACTTTGATATTGATATTTAACTTATTAGCTGTCAGACACACACATCATTTAATCAAAATTGTACTTTTCCCCCTCCGCATGGAAATGTTTACTAGCAAATTACATTATATAAAAACGCTGGCACAGCGGGATAGTGAGGTGGAATGAAATTCAATGCTTTTCTGGTGCCAAAGAGGTGTCGCCATCGAGTGGCAATGAGTAGAACTAGACCAAAGTATTAATGCATAACTGCGGAATCTCCATTAGTTGAGCGCAGCTGTGGGTATTGCGTGATTTATTGCTTTTTATTGTAACATCTGATAATTTTGTTATCGAAGTTAAGTATACAAATTTTTTCACAATGCAACTATAGTTAGGAAAGTCTTGTAATTAGTAAAATTTTTGAAAATTAAATGTAATTTTAAAAATTATTTTTTTTAAATTTAAAAAAGAAATTTTTTTTTCGGCATTCTTTTTACAAATACCTGACTTTTTCCCGAAAAAGGCAAAGAAAAAACAAGTAAAAGTACTAAATTTAAAAAAGTAATGAGGTACACGTAAAAATACAGACTTTTTCCTTTTTATCCGTTAGAAGTAACGAAAGTAAAAGCAATGCTATATATGCCTATGTCCGGTGACACCGTATTGTTTTGTATTCATGATTTTATAACCATTATAGTTGTAAAAGGTTTCAAAGCCGTAAAGGTAAAAAATGTTCCTAACCCTAAACTTTAAGGTTAGTTAGATGGACAACCTGTCTGTTATTTCGCAATAATTTTACAATGAAAATTTTTACAGTGTGTACAGACTAAAATCATATAAGATCGGATTCGTGTTCAGGACCCAAAAAAATATGTAAGTAAAAAATAAGAACTATATTGTCAGGACTATAATATAACTAAATTAACACAAATAACAAATCGAATATAACGAACTTAATCAGAGACAATGAAAGAAAACGATTAACGTATAAATCTCAGTTAAGCTTTTCACTGTAGCATGACGCTAAAACTATTTGGGAAGCAGTTTTGTTATTTTAATGCGCATTACAACTTTCTTATACGGAATTACATTAAAGTACTAACTATTCATATATTTCTCTGGATTTTTACACACAAATATCCTTATTCGGTTTTATCCATGTAATTCATTGAGTTTTAATATCATCCAATATGGATGAGTTGATACTTATAGTATATTGTCTTGAGATACTAAACTGCTGTTTGTAGAAAATGCAACACCATGAAAGAATCATCAGAATCAAATGAAATTTAATGCAGAAACGACTTGTACTGATACAAATAAATGATGAAATTTTCAAAACAAAAGAAACAAATTAAGCGTCCGAAATCAGTATTTGGTGCAGCCACCACGCGCTGCAATAAGTGCTGCTATACGACGTGGCATGGAGTCAAACAGATGTTGAATATCTGCTTGAGGAAGAGAATTCCATATCGCTTGTATGCGCAACCAAAGTTCGTCTTTGGAAACTGCAGGACGCGGATCACGAGTGAGACGCCGACCAACCATATCCCACACGTGCTCAATAGGCGACATATCCGGCGAATAAGCAGGCCAAGGAAGAAGTTGCATGCGTTGTGCTGAACAGAAGTCTCTAACAGTCCGCGCAACATGTGGGCGTGCATTATCCTGCTGAAAGATAGCTCCAGGGATGCCTTGAAGGAAAGGAACGACTTCGGGCTGTAGCACTTCACGGACGTATCTGTTGCTATTGAGATTACCCTCAATTCGTATCAAATTGGATCGTCCATGATACGAAATCGCACCCCAGACCATAACTCCGGGTGTTCGACCACTATGTCGTTCAATAATACACTCAGGAAGGCAGCGTTGACCGGCATAACGTCTAACACGAACACGGCCATCATGGGTCCACAAATTGAAGCGTGATTCATCTGAAAAGACAACTTGGTGCCAATCAGCTCGCCAGTCTCTGTGCTCAAGAGCCCACTGCCGACGCAGCCGTCGATGATCCGCCGTGAGGGGAATCCTGTATAATGGCACCCTTGCACGCAATCCACGGCGCAGCAGACGACGACGAATTGACGAAGCCGACAATTGTACACCTGTAGCAGTAGACCAATGTGCTGCCAGCTGCCTGGAGGAAGCTGTGCGATCATTCACCGCCATGCGGAGCAGGTGTCGATCATCGCGCTCTGACGTCACCTTCTGTCGTCCAGTGCCTGTTTTTCGAGTTGTTCGGTGCTCGTCGGTCCACTGCTTCCAAACTCGCATCACTGTGGAACTGTTCCGCTGCATACGAGCTGCTATTGCGCGATAGGAAAATCCTCCTTCTCGAAGGCCGATTATCCTCCCTCGTTCAAACTCCGTAAGTTGCTTGAATTTCTTATTCTTCCGTCGTGGAGGCATACTCAGGTCTCACTAAACGTTTGCCACTAACAAATAATCATAGACTATTTTCAACGTCCCGCTACAGCACTTTATTTATACGCTTTCAGCATCAATTCAGAGGGCGCTGCGCGCGCCACGCACGCGCGATGGCTCTGAAACTTTATTAATTTGCATAATATCCTATATCCATTATTAAAATAATATTTCATTTGATTCTGATGATTCCTTCATGGTGTTGCATTTTCTACAAACAGCAGTTTATTATTTGAAAAAGGGAAGAACCGGCTAGTCGCAGGAGGTTGATTAATTTGATTCATTTTGGCTTATATGAGATGCTTGAAAAATATATTTTAATCGCATGCATTTTTAAAATTTTATTGAATAAAAAAACTAAATATGAGTTCCATCCAAAGAACATTGAATGCTATTTAATCTAATGCTATTTAATATCCCTCTTGTTCAATGCTATTTAACTTGATTGTCTGAAATACAACTTCATATTGAACCCTATAAAAATTCTTTTACTTGATTTTTTTCCGGAAATTTAAGACATATTTTGTTCTCATAAAAATTATATGTGTGTGTATTGTGTTTTCTGAGTAGTCTTAATGCATAAGCCGATATTCTTGAAATTTGTATCTTTTGATGGAATGACAAGTTGTCTCAATTGAAATTACAGTGTTTTTGCCAGCTACACTTTTTGCACAACCTATGACTTTTGATAATTCGTAATTGGAGCTTTCTTTCCAACAGTTTTATCATTTCAGGGATCAATTTCGTATTCAAATATATTCAATTTGTAAATCAAATGATAAGCCAATATTTTGAGGATTTTTGTTTTAAACAAAGCAGTATTGTTAAATTGCATAATTATTTAACATAAATTAAATAAATTCTACGTGATACTCTGAAAATAAATTTTTCCTGTCAATCATTTTTATTTACTTGAATATCTACTTGAGTGTGAATACAGTTGTGAAAATTGAATACAGTTGTTTTTACAATTTATGAGTTAAAGCTATGATTTTTTTTTTCCATTTTGAAACAAATGTTTTGCTTTAAATTTTAATGATTACAACTTCAATTCTTTTCTACGTCAATAATATTGTGAGTCAAATGAAAAATGCTATTACGTAAGTAAAACTATTTTTACTTTGAGTTTCTACAATTTTTTTTATTTTTTATTGATACATCTTTTCACTTTTACCTCAATTTGCATTAGTTCTTCTCAAAGACGTATTAATATATTCTACTGAATGTTTTATTTAGTATTCTATTTAGTATTAGTTTTTGCATTCCTTTTCAATACAACATGATCCTTTAATACAACAAATATTTTTTGTTAAAAGTCTAAAACGGACTCTTAAATTAATGTAGGGGAGAGTTGGACAAAACGGGATACCATTATTATTTTTATTTACTATGGAATATCTGTTAAGAAAAACCCTACACTATTTTTTTGTAGCTACAGCATTTATTGGAGCACACAAAAAACATATTTTAAACTAATTTTAATGACTGTGAAATAGAACAAAAAATTAATTTCCAAATTCTTACATATCCCGTTTTAGCATACCTGGGTTGGATAAAACGGGATAGGATTTACAACGTTTAATTTTTTGCATAAAACTAAGTGAAAAGCATAATTAACTGGCAGAGAAAAAATTTCTATAAATTATATTCATGGGATTTTACTGTTCTAACACTTTTATATAGATTGTTCTTTTATAAGTAAGTACACAAAAAGTATGATTCTACATTTATTTTTAAGACTGCGAGTTTTCAAACATGAAGGCTTATTTCCGCAATTTTCATTGTCGAGATGTGCCTTGTGCTCTTAAGAGAGATTTCTTAGCAGCCTTTCCTTCAATTCTCTTGGTTCTTTTTTGTAGTTTAATAATACTTTCCTTTTCTTCCATTTCTAATTCATTCCATTGATGTCGCAACATCCCTGAAAGACTCTTTAATAATCAAGTATTTAAATTCTTCAGTAAACAAAGAGAAGAATTCTTTTTAGTATCGAATGTAGATTGAATTGAGTAATTAAGAAAATTACTAAGTTTACATATAAAAAAGCTCAAGTCTTCATCAGAGAAATACATTACAATTAGTTCTAAGGAAAGATGTGAAATCCTAGAGTCGAAAATAAAATGCTTAATAACGAACGTTAATAAACAAATTTTGCATTACTATATAAAGAGACTAAATTTCACAAAAATATATATAGCTAATATAAATAAGCTGTTCAAAAAGTCTAGGTCTACAAATGGCTATTTTAAAATGTAATAATCCAACAAATAAATAGGTGGATAAAACGGGACATAAAAAACTCTATCCCGTTTTATTCACCTCATAAGTGTCCCGTTTTGTCCGACTCCGATACTTTTTGAAACAAACATGGCTGCTGTCTAAATGTGAAAACAAAATTAGACAGACTGCACATAAAAACATTGGTAAATAGATGGTTAATCAAATTTAATACTCACCGGAATTCTATTCCCATATATGTAGGCAGTACAATATAAAAAACAACGCACGTAAATGTAGAAAATGATAAAAAAATAGAGTAAAAAAGTTCTGAGACCTACAACTTTCTATCAAATAGTGATCTCGAGGCGGAACGCACCGAGAATGATATAATCACGGTCGAATAACGCGTCTCTGTCGTTGTTCACTATATAGCTGCAATAGTCTGGTCCCTAGGCGACGTATCCCGTTTTGTCCGACTATCCCGTTTTGTCCGACTATCCCGTTTTATCCAACTCTCCCCTACTCATTTTTAAATTAGATATTACAATACAAAAACAGTACAAAATATTATATTACAAAATTCATTAATGGTTAGTAAAAATTTCTGACACAAAATCTGTCGCTTTGTATTTTTTGAAACCGTTTATAAATATTTTGTTACATATCAGAGTGTATAATTTTTGTTCAACGGTCTAATAAAAAATATTAAAATATTTTTTTAACCATTTTGCAGTAAAGTTCATTATGGATAAATATTTCTCAGTAATTCTGAAACTTAATGAGTACTAAGAAACTTTTTTGCAGAAAATATTCATTTAATTTTAAGTTAAGTATTCCAAGACAATTCTTGATTCTTAAAATCTTGGATCACCGGGACAAACGGGATAGTGGCAGCAAATAGGGTATGGTCCTTTTCCGGTTCCTCTTCTGCATTTAGAACCTTCTAGAATCGGTACTCCAATGCATCTGAAATTATATTCAATAAAATAAAAAAGTAATTAATAAAAATTATACACTAAATGCTCTTTAATGAAAAGACGATGAATGGATGATTCCTATAAAGATTAGGACTAATCAACTGCTAAATTTAATTGCTTTATTAAAAAGACAGATATGAAATGTGAACTTTTTAATTCTTCAGAAGAAATTTTTTTCCTTCAAAAAATTAATTTCTGATCTGTTACAGAAACAGGTTGCATGATAGATGTAGATAGATGTTGATTACATAGAGATATGCATCGCAGAACAAATTCATCTCATAAAATTTGGTATTAAATATTTTTAAAAAAAATGAATAAATATAATCCAATTAAAATTTTTTCATTTATTCTTAATTAGTTCTCAAATTTTTAACTTTAGTCTTCTTTTGGAGATTACAGGATATTTTTTCAAAAGGATATTTTTTTTCTAATTTTGGTTGCATTAAAAATTCTCTTATCTCAAATAATAATATACTTACATAACATAAACTGTATGGTAACTTATTTTTATCAAATTTCTTTCCGCTCTCACGAATTGTTTATTGCGAGTAAATTTAAAAGTAAAAAAGTTAAATTAAATTGTATTTTTATATTGTCCCTTTGTAACGCTGCTTACATACAGAAAAAAAAATCGCAGTATTTTGTTGCTAAAATTGTTAAAAAAATGGCTGTTCTATATATAGGATGCTGTATCTTAATGCGTTATTAATGAAGTTTAATTATAAGAATTATTATATTATACATAAAAAAAAATAAAAAGTGAAATTTGGTTGAAGGTCTCTTTTTTAACACTGTCTCCTAGATCAATATTATGACTATGACGCATGCTTTACAAAATAGTGAAACGTTCTTTTTTTACGAGAGTAATCAATAACCTTAATATTAAGAAACATATTCAAAAGTTTTAAAAATTATGATGTTTAAATGCACTTACGGTTTAACACCCAAGAAGCCATCTGTACACGTATATTCCTGGCAGGGATGCTCTCTTTGAAATGTTTCTCCATTTTTATGTTCACCGCAGTCAACTGAAATGTCAAACAAAAATGAGAGAATACACAGAATATATATATATATATATATATATATATATATATATATATATATATATATATATATATATATATATATATATATATATATATATATATATATATATATATATATATATATATATATATATATATATATATATATATATATATATATATATATATATATATATATATATATATATATATATATATATATATATATATATATATATATATATATATATATATATATATATATATATATATATATATATATATATATATATATATATATATATATATATATATATATATATATATATATATATATATATATATATATATATATATATATATATATATATATATATATATATATATATATATATATATATATATATATATATATATATATATATATATATATATATATATATATATATATATATATATATATATATATATATATATATATATATATATATATATATATATATATATATATATATATATATATATATATATATATATATATATATATATATATATATATATATATATATATATATATATATATATATATATATATATATATATATATATATATATATATATATATATATATATATATATATATATATATATATATATATATATATATATATATATATATATATATATATATATATATATATATATATATATATATATATATATATATATATATATATATATATATATATATATATATATATATATATATATATATATATATATATATATATATATATATATATATATATATATATATATATATATATATATATATATATATATATATATATATATATATATATATATATATATATATATATATATATATATATATATATATATATATATATATATATATATATATATATATATATATATATATATATATATATATATATATATATATATATATATATATATATATATATATATATATATATATATATATATATATATATATATATATATATATATATATATATATATATATATATATATATATATATATATATATATATATATATATATATATATATATATATATATATATATATATATATATATATATATATATATATATATATATATATATATATATATATATATATATATATATATATATATATATATATATATATATATATATATATATATATATATATATATATATATATATATATATATATATATATATATATATATATATATATATATATATATATATATATATATATATATATATATATATATATATATATATATATATATATATATATATATATATATATATATATATATATATATATATATATATATATATATATATATATATATATATATATATATATATATATATATATATATATATATATATATATATATATATATATATATATATATATATATATATATATATATATATATATATATATATATATATATATATATATATATATATATATATATATATATATATATATATATATATATATATATATATATATATATATATATATATATATATATATATATATATATATATATATATATATATATATATATATATATATATATATATATATATATATATATATATATATATATATATATATATATATATATATATATATATATATATATATATATATATATATATATATATATATATATATATATATATATATATATATATATATATATATATATATATATATATATATATATATATATATATATATATATATATATATATATATATATATATATATATATATATATATATATATATATATATATATATATATATATATATATATATATATATATATATATATATATATATATATATATATATATATATATATATATATATATATATATATATATATATATATATATATATATATATATATATATATATATATATATATATATATATATATATATATATATATATATATATATATATATATATATATATATATATATATATATATATATATATATATATATATATATATATATATATATATATATATATATATATATATATATATATATATATATATATATATATATATATATATATATATATATATATATATATATATATATATATATATATATATATATATATATATATATATATATATATATATATATATATATATATATATATATATATATATATATATATATATATATATATATATATATATATATATATATATATATATATATATATATATATATATATATATATATATATATATATATATATATATATATATATATATATATANATGCATATATATATATATATATTTATATGTATATATATGTCTGACTGAATACTTTTCATGCAATAGAAAAAAAGTTATTAACAAAGTACTTATAGAATAAAAAGGATTGTTTAAAATAAAAGCTGATACTTACGGTTTATTACTTTGGGCGAAAAGACTGGGAAATCTGAGCTTTCAGCAACCATTACAAAAAAAAGAAATGATAAGTAACAAGCAAAATACGCTTCGTATCATAGTTATCCTTATTTGACGCTCCTTTTATTAATACCAACAAAAGTTTTCTGGGAAAATTGGGAAAAAAATGACGTTAAAAATTTCTCAGAAAAATGGTTAAATAACAAATTAATTAATTGATATTTTGTGTAATAATTATTAATTTATTTAATTGCATTTTAATTGTATCACTAATTTGTGATCTTGTGCCGTTAGATTGCGATACTCCCCATTCACGCGTAGATAACAGATACCTAAAACTACTTAACTATCTTCAACTTGCAGTGAAAATTCATTTTTATGATTATGAAACAATGCAAGTTGTATAGAATTAAAAGAGCGCATGGTTTTCCTTTTTTATTAACCATACAGTTTCAAAACCGTAAAAATAAAAAAAATGTTTCCTTACAGTAAACTTTATGAGTCATTTAATAGACTGACTGCTACCATAATTTTAGAATGAAAATTCTAACAGTATAGTATGAATGAACAGTAAGCGTAAAAATGACTGCATAAATATAAATATAACTAAAGCAAAGATTGATCAAAAAGTAGTTTAGTTTGTGACATTTTTTGTACTCAAGCTTTTGAATATATATATATATATATATTCAAAATCTGCTTCACGCAGCCTCTGAAGCGAGACGCTACCTAGTATACGCAAAAAGAGGGTGCCAAGTATATAACAGGTAAGCGGGCATTACAACACGCATTTTACTGCGAAAACTTCGGTAGCCTTTAAGCAATCTCGTTATTAATTTACTATAAAATTTCAATATTAATTTTGTTCGTTATTACATACAATATGCGGAAAAAAGACAGTGTGGATTATCTAAAAAGATAATAAGAAAGAAAAAATATGACTTACTCTCTGATTTTCACTATTACAAGTGTTGCTTTTTTTTTAGACTCGACGTGTTTATCGAATCTTTTTTATACAGAAAAAATGACAAAGATAATATAAAACATGTTTCATGATGTATAGAATAATGTTTTATGGTACATTATTTTTTGCAATGCTTTATGAAATATTGACATTACTTTAATATACATCTTCAACGTGACAACTCTTATTGTTCAGTTTTTTTCATTTATATTTTTTATTATATAATTAAAGATTCCTTTTTTTTACTAACAACAAAGGTCAATAAAACTGCAAATTGCTAGCCGTTTATTGTTGGGATAGAATGATTCAAGCAATTACAGTTTATAACAATTATTTGCGTAGAAAATATAACTGATGCTACTTATTGCAGGACGTATATTAAATTTAGAACTGAAAACTGATTATTTTCTCGAAATAAATTTTATTATGAAAAGTATATTTTCTGATTAAATACATTAAAGAAGAAATGTAATTTTGAGAACTTGAGAATGTTATATCAATAAAAGATTTTATGAGTGTGCTCTTCACAATTTTATAACCATTTCTTTCAGTATAGGTCTAAATTTGTCCGTGAGTGCATGAACCAGATGTGAGAAAGACTCGTGTTAAATGATTTTTTATCAAAGGATTATATTTGCGCATTATTGTAATTTAGATTATAAATTATTTTTTCTTTATTAACATTATAAATTATTTTTTCTTTACCTATTTTAAAGAAAAGATCAATGATTTTTTGAAATTTAGAACTCTAATAAAACCAAAATGAGTTTGAAATTGGTATTTTATTAACCATTCTTTAATAATTATTTATCTTTAACTCTTTATGTAATGTAAATTCATCACGTAATTTAAATACTTTCAAAGCTATCTGAAACCGCGTGTTTCCTTATTTATAGTAAATTTTTGTTAATCAGGTTTCTTTAAACCTAAGTCATATAAAATCTATCTTAGGTTGAAGTAAAATAAAATAAAAAAATACATATTATCTTATATACTAAATAGCCAATGTAGCCAAATAAAATGCTTGATTGTGCAATAATTATTTTTAGCGTAAAATGATACAGCAAGTCCATACATTTAAACTTCATGATATATTTTAATATATATTTCGCATATAAATCCAAATAAAAAATTTCTAAATAAAAAGTTAAAAATTTTGCCCCTCTCTAACGCATTTGGGTACCTAAAGAGTCCTAATATTTATTCTTGTTAAAAGCATTCTCTAAATGGAACATATTCATTTTGATTCTTTTATTTTTATTTTAAATTTGATTGGTTCTTATTTGGTTTTACTGTAGAGATCTGAGTTGTATTTGATTATTTGATTTTTAGAGATTTGTCAAGATAGTTTTCATTCTGTTGTTTTGTTGGTTTCCTTGTCTCTGACATACAGAATAGCACCCTCTTTACCATTGAATAAAAAATATTAATTGTAGTTTTGTAATCTGTATTTAATATTAATTGTAGTCTTTGTAGTTTTTAATTATTATTAAATGTAGTCTTTGTAGTCTGTAGTTGATATTAATTATAGTATTTATGCTAAATAATATCATTAAATAATAACAGTTTAAAAAAATATAATAATAATAACTTAATTCTAATGATACGATTTGTATTTTTAATTATATAAAAAAAATTGTATCGTGCTTTCGGGGGTTTATAAATTTTAACATATTATAGTTTTAAATATTAGGAAAATGGGTTACAAAACGATTGCAATGGTGCTTACTTTGATAATTTTGAGGTTTCAAAAGGTAGATGGAAAAAAATATTTGCTCAGCGATCAATCAATTTCAGATTTGGAATAATTTAAAATTTTACTTTGCTAGTGATATTTAACATATTAGCTGTTAGAGACACACACATCATTTATTCTAAATTGTACTTTTTTCCTAGTCAAGGAAATGTTTACTAGTTAAAAACATTATATAAAAGCGCTGGCACAGCAGGATAGTGTGGTGGATTGAAATTCAATGTTTTTCTTGGTGACATAGAGGTATCGCCATCCAGTGGCAAGGAGTAGAACTAGACCAAAGTATTAATGCTTAACTGCGGAAATTCCTTTAGTTTGTACATCTTGAGCTCTGGTTTGCGTACTACGTGGTTTGTTGATTCTCTAATGTAACATCTGTTAATTTTGGTATCAAAGTAAAGTATACAAATTATTAACAATACAACTATAGTTAGTAAAGGCTTGTAGTTAGTAAAGACTTAATTATCTTTAGTTTATTGCAATTAAGTGTTACTTTGCGTATATTCTCGAGTTTCCCTGTTTTTTAATCTGAATTATTTAATTGGTAATTTAATGTTTTGCCTTTTAAGGACAATCTGCTATATAAATAAAGTGCAAGCGTTTTTTTTTTAAACATTCTTCAGTTTTTAATGCTTTTATAACTACTTCTCTTTTTCATCTCATTCTGCCAAATGCCCGAGAAGCGACGAAATGCATGATATGATTTTATGTAATTGAATAAAAAAAATACTTATTGTATTTTCTTTTCTAAAAATATCGATGTATATTTAGGAATGTGAAATTATAATGTATATATAGAAACATGAGCTGGTCTTTTACTTAATTAACTAACCTTAATTGATTAATTTTGTTATTTTCAAAGCATGTTTCAAACTAGGTACCCAGTTCTGCCATGTTCTTTTAGTCTGTGGTATGATTTATTTTCATGAAACCGTGGTATGAAATAGTTCTGAGGAACGTCGGCAACAAATGCGCTGATTGGTTGTGCATTACATGGTCATCAGTTCAGTTTTACCTCGTATAGTTATTATGTGTTCAGGTGTTTTCAGGTGTCAGAGTTGTCGATAGCAATGTCATAGACTAGTAACTTCTTTCAAACTAAACTAAACTAAACTTATGTATCAAAATTACACACGCAATTTGTTTTTATAAAGATGAAAGCATGTTGATTTTTATAGACAAACTTAAATATAACCATTGGCAAAACTAAATTAGCAAAATATAAAATATATTAATTAATGATTAAAAATTCTGTTCAGTTTGAACTATTTTGAGCTCGATATATACTGCTAGATAAATAATTAAGCAAATATTTAGATTTCTCATGCAATTTGTTGGCAATAAAAAGGTTTTATTCCCATTTAGGCAAATGATTTACAACTAATAAATCTTTTGACTTCTGGTCACACACCCATATTTAACAATTTCAATATGTTGGGTCACCGGGACAAACAGGATGTTCGCAGCATTTAGGATAAGGTCCTTTTCCTCTTTCTCGTCTGCATTTAGAATCAGGCGAGAGTTGAAACGCTGGACACCTGAAATAATAAGAAAAATAAAGCAAATATGAATGACAAAATATATCGCACAAAATTAAGATTAAAAATTAAAATACTTTAATGATCATTAGCAAAACAATTGCTTTCTATACATAAAAGTCGATATAATTTTTTTTTATTTTGAAAAGTATATTACAATTTTATCGAAGTACGTTTTGGTAAACTGCTTATCGTAAAGAAAGGAACGGTTACCTAGATTCAAAAAATAATCAGCTGTACTTGAAAAATGAATAAACTTTTGAATGTTGAACACTCTAAAAGTATTTTGACTTGCTAAAAATATGTCGTATAATAGCTGAAATTGGAAACAGTCTTTACCTCTAATGAGCCATTTACGTTTTTAAGAAATTCGATACAAGTGTTAAAACTTATACTTATCTTTGACTCGTTTATTTTTTATAATATTAGATTTTTATTTTGCTAGTTTTGAGGTCAAGCCAAGCAGGGACTTATAAATGTAAGATCTCGAGAGAGAAAAAATTTTCTGAAAAAATGAATACCTAATCATTGTTTGATGCAAAATAAAAAAAACACTATAAAAGAACTTAAAATTGCAACATTTAAAAAAATTGGAGTCCAATTTCAACTCTTTTATTGGATTTATGTGAAGTGAAGAGTAGTCCAAAATTTTGTAGGTTAATAATCCTCGAACTTACGTTAAATTGATAAATTATTTTATTCTATCATATTTCTTGTTTTACAGATTTTTCTCTACTAAAACAAAATCTAACGTACAGTCAGATTATGTTTTAGTACCTAAAACAATGGCGACGAAGAGTATGACTTTTTAATACAGAAGAATAATTTAAAACCCTAAAAAAAGTTTTCCAAAATTTTAAAAATGTTTTTTAAGGTAAAATTCCAGAAGAGAGAATCTTTGGAAACTTTGGAAACTTTTTGGAAACTTTGCAAAAATTGACAAATAAAGCATTTTGTACCGATTACTGATTATATTACTGATTTTTATATATTGAGAAACATTCCGGTAACATTTATTTAAAAAATGTTAAAAACCAATAGCAATATAAACTATTTGCTTCTAAACATCCAACCCTTTTTTCAATAATCACTATTCCTTAAATAGCAAATAAATACATTTTTCCGTTGGAATATGATTCCTACGATCACAGTTACTTGTTGGTGATTTTTCGCTAGTATTTTCTGTTTAATTGATGGCTTTGTTTTTCCAATTCACCAAAGGAAGAAAAAAATATGCAGAAGTTGCTTTAGCTAAAAAAGATATGTTCGAGACTAATGTATGCTAAAAAAATTTTGTAATCAATCGAAAGTCTTGAAATTGATTACATTAAAGCGTGAAACAGGTTTGGTCAGGAAAAAGGCTCGGAATATTACCGCAGCATTGTTCACTTTTTCCGAAAAACTTTAAATCCTGCATAAGAGAAGAAAACGGTATGGCAAAAAATATTACTACGCCAATTAAACGGATGGAGGTCAACTGTGCGAATCTTCAGTGGTAAGATAAAACGGCTCTAAATGCCATGTTACAATAATCCTATTGGAAAATAAACGAAAATCAGACTCCCAGAGTCATAGACTCTCAGACTCTCTGACTCTTGATGTATGAATTTTTTACTTTCATTATATAACCGCCGTTGAACAGCCGACCTAATTTTTGGGTTTAAGACTACTTGTGTTCAACTACATAGTCTTGTAATTTTGAACCCAACCCAGAAAACAGGGGAACTCCTGGATCAAGTATTGGGAGAAGTTTGCCTTCGTTTTGGAATTTTTGATGGCACTAACCCGCATTTGCGTTACATGGAGAGGAAGACCACGAGAACCTCCCACTGTTT